CCATTTCTACCCTATTCCAGAACAGTCACCACGTGTTATAGATCTTGAAACATACCACCTATGTTTCAGGCATAAAATAGACAAAACCCCAAAACCTTCCCACAGAAGTCTGTTCCTATTTCTCTCATGGCCCTGCTGTCCTGACCGAAGGACTACTCCTTATACCCAGGGTATCTTAATGAGCAATGCTTACCAAAATGAGTTAGGAGAGCTCAACTGGAGCTTTCTGCAGGATTCCAACACTTGCTTGGAAGATAAGTCTAAAGACAAATGAATCATCCTGTTCCAATGAAGAGACAGAAGCCTGTGTACCCTCATGTTTAAAAAAAGTGAGAAATCTGTTGATAGCATAGCATTGGCATCCTCTTTGTGAGAGATACAAGTCACTGCAATCTTGTCAAATTTGATACAAGTTCCTGGATTAGAGTTCCCACAAGCATCACACACTTGCAAGATTCTATATAAGGAACCTACCTGATCAGAAGGAAGCTACACTTGCAGCAGACTATTCATGCCACTACCTACTGCATACCTGTTCTGCAGATAGAACTTTTGTCAGACATGGCTGGAAACAGTGAGAACAACTACAGTACCCCAGTGACCGTCTCTAGTACTAGAAGTTGTAATCTCAATGTAAACAATGTGACATTTCCTCAGGAAAATAAAATTTCATTTTAAAAATAAGTAATTCTATTTAATAGGAATGAGCACATTTTTCATGTGATTATCCAGAGAGATTCCTTTTATACCTTTTGATCATACAAAACTAATCTTCCTCCTGTTGTTTATATAAACCAAGGTTCTACCTTTTCTTCCCCTGCAAGAGAAGGGTGTCCTCAAATTGCAAGCATCTCTACTAATGTAAAACCAGCTGTGAGTTCTGGAAAATATAACTGATTTTAAATAAGTTTAATTCACTTGAAAAATGTATTGTTCAACTTCTAGTGGTTATCAGAAATTTCCCTGGTGAGCTTTGACTTAGTGTAATTTATCCAAAATTTAATAACTTCATTTGGAAAAAATATATTAAGCCTCAGTTGCAAAGAACTTTACAAAAAGTGATGCAGTTCTAGTGATTCAGCTGCTGCTGTATATCTAGTAAGTAGCAGGACAGTGAAACACAGATTTTGTCAGTTTCACTGCTGCTATTCAGAAAAGAGTTTCATCAGAAAATACAAACTAGAAACCCAAAATGTTTCACAGAAGCCTACTGTGTTTAAACAAAATTATGCTGATCCACAGGCAGAGTTCCATTAGAAACTGTACTTGGTTTGACAGCTTGCCTAGGCTGAGGATATTTAGGGTATCCAGTGCCTATGGCATGGATTAGCTACCAGACCCTGAACAGCTGGTTCCCCACTCCCAAATGGTGTGCCACACCTAGGATCACCAGAGAAAAACACTGCTACTTAAGGACAGGCATTGACAAAAGTGACAAGAATGTCAATTTCGTTCAGAAGCTGCTGAAATATTTTTGTTGTTGTTTTACAAACACCATAGGTTTCCACAGTGAAAGTTTTCCACAATTTCCAGTTCATGGGGAAATTGAGAATTTTTATTTTGGTCTAAATCAGAAAAAACACAAAATATGAAATTTCCTACAAACTGGAAATTCTGAGTTTTGGCCATCTGTATTCAGAACCCTACTGACAGCTGTGAAAGTGGATAGAATCAAAATATGAGCAACAGCATAGCTGTCCACAGAATAGTACAAGAAGAGAAACCTGGACCAAAAAAAGTGTACAGTATAATAAAACTGTGTCATCTTCAATTGAGGGGGGAAATCCACCAAAAACTGGAAGATAAACACAACTTTTTGAAAGAAAATATTAGCAAAGATATTATAATTCTCTGAATACATTAAAACAAACCTTTCACCTACAGTTCTCATATTTCTGTGAAAAACTCATTTCACTCAAGGCTTTCACATGTGTGCCTAGTTCAGTCTTTAATCTGTCATAAGAACTTACATACTTATCTTTAAAAGCACCAATGCTAGCAATTCTCATGATTTACTGAGAGCATTGTAATACCTGGCTGGTGCTTTTCTTAAATTCCAGTTCTTGCAGTGAAAAAAAAAATCAAGTGAACATCTGTTTCCATTTCTAAAGCTAAGTTTCTAACACTCATGGTTGCAAAAGAAAAATTTAAAATGCAAACCCTAAAAGTGTCAAAACCAAAAGGCAATATAAAAGTACCTACAATTTATTTTTTAGTTCTTATGACTTTGGGTCTTTTTTTAAACTTCTCATGACTTTTGAATACTTGGGGTTGATAATATTACCAACAGTAGAGTTTTATTTTAGTTTTTTAGATACAAGCAGGTCCTCAAAACCAAGTGACACTTGCCTAAACTTGCCTCAAGCACACAATTAAAGCTGTTAAACAAATGCAACTTATTTAACCATTCTTTTGCAAAAAGTCCAACCAAGCAAAGACCAAGTGCACACAGAATAATTTAGTCATCTTAATAATGTATAGGCTCTACTTATCCCTTCATTTTGGTTAACATGCCATATTTCCAAGTCTCAAAGAAAATAGTACGAGCTCCATTTTAGTACTTTGGGCAGCACTTTGACTGCCCTGGCTTCACCAAGTTGAGCTCATCTAGCATAAAAGTTGTGTAAATTTTATGTGGAAGTTTTTCAGTGGGTCATTTTAAATTTAGAACTGAAAGGAAGTGGTTTTAACAACTGCCAGATTCCTTCCTATTTCAAACCCCAATAATATTAAAAATAAATTACTAATATTAATCTTGAATGAGAGAACAAAATAGAGTCAAGCTTTCCAATACATTAGACCACATATAAATCCCCTATTTAAAATATATATACACTAGTGTAAAAATACATTGATATTTCATCCAATTTTGTTTAACTTACCAATTTGGGACCAAGAGATACCCCCTTTTATTGATACAGACAGATCGTTAAGTGGAAAAAGTACAAAACATGCATCCTAGAATACTCAAGGAACTGATAGAGGAGGTATTTGAGCCTTTAGTTATCATCTTTGAAAAATCATGGAGGACAGGATAGATTGCAGAAGACTAGAAACAGGCAAATATACTACCAATCTATAAAAAGGGAACTAAGAACAATCCAGGAAACTACAGACCAGTCAGTTTAACTTCTGTGCCAGAAAAGATAATGGAGCAAATAATTAAGTAATTCATCTGCAAACATACAGAAGATAATTAGGTGATAGGTAACAGCGAGCATGGATTTGTAGAGAACAAATGTCAAACCAATCTGATCGCTTTCTTTGTTAGGATGACCAAATGTCAAACCAATCTGATAGCTTTCTTTGTTAGGATGATGAGTCTCGTGGCTAAGGGAGAAGCAGTGGACATGGTATACCTAGACTTCAGTAAGGCATCTGATATGGTCTTGTATTGTATTCTTACCAATAAACTAGGCAAATACAACTTAAATGGGGAAATAATAAGGTGGGCGCATAACTGGCTGGATAACCGTTCTCAGAGAGTAGTTATTAACGGTTCACGATCCTGTTGGAAGGGCATAAGAAGTGGGTTCCGCAGGGGTCTGTTTTGGGACCAGTTCTGCTCAATATCTTCATCAACAATTCACATATTGGCATAGAGAATACGCTTATTAAGTTTGCAGATGACGCGAAGCTGGGACACATCGCAACTGCTTTGGAGGATAGGGTAATAATTCAAAATGATCTGGACAAATTGGAGAAATGGTCTTAGGTAAATAGGATGAAGTTTAATAAGGACAAGTGCCAAGTGCTTCACTTAGGAAGGATCAATTGGTCTCACACGTACAGAATGGGAAGCGACTGTCTAGGAAGGAGTAATGCAGAAAGGGATCTAGGGGTCATAGCGGACCACTAGCTAAATACGAGTCAATAGTGTGACAAGCGACTGTCTAGGAAGGAGTAATGCAGAAAGGGATCTAGGGGTCATAGCGGACCACTAGCTAATACGAGTCAATAGTGTGACGCTGTTTCAAAGAAAGCAAACATGATTCTGGGATGCATTAACAGGTGTGTTGTGAACAAGACACAAGTCGTCATTGTTCTGCTCTACTCTGTGCTGATGAGGCCTCAATTAGAATACTGTGTCCAGTTCTGGGCACCGCATTTCAAGAAAGATGTGGAGAAACTGGAGACGGTCCAGAGAAGAGCAACAAAAATGATTAAAAGTCCAGAGAACATGACCTATGAAGGAAGACTGAAAGAATTGGGCTTGTTTAGTTTGGAAAGTAGATGACTAAGAGGGGACATGATAGTAGTTTTCAGGTATCTAAAAAGTGTCATAAGGAGGAGGGAGAAAAATTGTTCTCCTTAGCCTCTGAGAGTAGACCAAGAAGCAATGGGCTTAAACCGCAGCAGGGGATGTTTAGGTTGGACATTAGGAAAAACTTTCTAACTGTCAGGGTGGTTAAACACTGGAATAAGTTGCCTAGGGAGGTTGTGTAATCTACATCTCAGGTTAGACAGACATCTATTAGAGATGGTCTAGACAGTGTTGGGTCCTGCCATGAAGGCAGGGGACTGGACTTGATGACCTCTCAAGGTCCCTTCCAGTTCTAGTGTTCTATGAAAACTTATAACATATTACAAAAAGGACACAAAGCAAGAGGCATAGTACCACACACACTGCCTACAGGGGTAGGACTTTTTTTTTTTTTGAGTGGGAGGAGGATAGGAGAGTAAAGTAGTGAATTTCTTTTGTTTGGAATTTGGAGGAACGCGGTCCCTTCACATTTATCAGACAGACATATCAGAGATCAATATAATTCAAGTACTGCATCCAGGCAGGATTACCAACATCTCTCTATTCCCAGCAACTGGGAGTTAGAGATAAATTGCTCAGAAGATGTGTGTATACCTTACTGATGAAATCCCTTTATTTTAAAATATAAAGTATCACTAACGGACCTTTGGCTTATAGGTGCCTATATGCTAAAACATGCCTTAATTTCTGTAAGATCCTTTAGAAAAATCAGGGTACAATGAGAGTGATACCATACCTGACTGAATGGATCCTGCCAGTCCATCTGCAGGTATAGGTCTTCTGAAAACATCAGAATTCTGGTCTTGTATTTTCCTAGGCATATGTCTAGTTAAATGGGACACTCTTGAGCCAGCTTTTTCACAAACTGGATATATATTAGCTCATCCTTGGAAGAAATATTTTTTTCCTTCTCCCCAGTAAGTACATATTTCTTGATGAAAAGTCAGCATCGTGCTCTGCATCCACAAAACAGTCTTGTTTCTGTTCTTCAGCACAACTCCCCTTCCCTCCAGCAAGCACTGCAGTATGCTGCAACAAAGAGATGTTTTGACAACAGCCATGCAGAGCCCAAATGTAGGAAGGCCTAAGGGGACACCAAGAACAGAACCAGAAAACATCCTCCTCCTTCACATTGCTATATCAGTTTGCAACCTACAGTTGTTGAACTCTGCAGTGCAACCAGATATCCAAATAAGAGAGGGTTAGGTTCTGGTTAACTGGCAGGGACTAGAGCAACTTCCCGCCTGCCACAGGCAGGGAGCTACTCCAGGACCACGGGGCACACCACAGGCAAGTGCTGCTCTGATCAGCCCTCTCCCACCCACCTCTCCTTTAAATTAAGATAACCAATTAAACAGGATTTTACATCCATAGCAAGCACATCCTGGTGCTCTACACCAGTGTTTCTTAAATTGTGTTCCACGGCACACTGCAGTAGGAAGTGTGCCGCAGAGAACAACAAAGTTCAAAATGGCCACCCTTAAAAGGGCATGTGACCTTTTTTTGCTCAATAACTTCCCCCCTGACCCTCCCTCCCCCTTTTTCCCCCCCTCAACCAAAAAAAAAAATCCTTGGCATTCCTCATAAAAAAATTGTTTGGTGTTCCTCGGTCTTAAAATGTTTAAGAAACATTGCTCTACACTGACCGCCCCGCTGAACTGAGTGCAGTTTGAGGTCACTGGACCAATATTCAAAATCTGACATGGAACTTGCCCTATCTCCTTGAGAAACTGCCTCATCCTCTATAGCCATGAGGGAGCTACATTTAGGGAACTACAGACCTATCAGCTAATAGGGCTTATGTATACAACGAAACCTTCACTGGTCCTGGACTAGATAACGCAACTCACACCCTAAAGAGATATAAATACTGTAAGACAGCCTTACTACTTTTAAAACTATGAAATTCTCCTCCCGCTGCCCACATACATTCTTCATGCATACTTCTCTACCTGTGAGCAAAGTCGCTCTCTTTTTAGTTATTTTTCTAAGAGACAGTTTTGTTATCTCTGTTAATAAATATTAGGGAAGCATCCAAATACTCTGGTGATGGCAACCACATGAACTGCACAGACAGACAAATGAGATAAGCTATCTAGTCACACAACATCACAACTAATAATGGCCCTTACCCATTGTATTCTCTTTCTAGTAATACTTTCTCTGCTGCATTAACTCAGGTAACAGCACCCAATGCTGAGTACCTGTGGTAGCCTAGCTCAGATGTTAGCAGCCACACTGCAAAGCCATGCTAGAGTTACAGCACTAGTGAGGACACAGTACTTGCCCGGGTGTATCACTAGGACTTCTGCAGTAATGTAAGTAGGGTCTTTGTTCGACAGTAATCTGAACACTATATGATTCTTTCCCAATGACTTATGGGAGAATGTGTCCTTTTGGCAAGGGGGGGGGGGAAGAGGGGCGGAAGATTGTTGGAAGGCAGTAGACAATTATTTGAATTTAGCATCCTAATTTGAACATGGGAAGGTTATCCCAGAAACTCCTACCGGTCAATGTTCTTTGTTGCTGGATCAAGCAAGTAGGGGTGGGGGAGGGGCAAGAGGAGGAAGGGATTGTGATATCACTCTCTCATCTATTCATAGTGATCTCAAGAGCTAGAAATTCATCAAAGTTGTGTTTATTCCTCCTCTTCCCTCTCTCCCTCAAAAAAATTACATAATTTTGTAAGGAGGATACCCAGTTTCTCCAGAACATATCCAAAGAGAATAAGGACATCTCCCTTTTCTCCAATGAGCTAAGGAATAAGTCCTCACAACACTCCCTTGCATCATCTTCACACTAGCCTGTCTTATCCCACAAGTATTTTTTATAATCACAGTATGATGAGCCAGACTGAATCATCCCAATCCTGCAAGACAAAAGATAGGTGGAGAATTCCAAAAACTAGCATTGCGAAAATACATCATGCCCTTCCAAAGTTCCTTTCATTAGAGAAGCAAAATACTCAAAGATTAGTTGCATATATTTTACAGATAAAATATTGACGCAAAGATAACTGACTTGACCAAGATCTAGGGTTGCCAACATTCTAATTACACAAAACCAAACACTCTTGCCCCACTCCACACTTTCTTCAAGGCCCCACCCCTCCAACTTCTTCCATCTCCCTATCTGTCACTTGATCTCCCCAACCCTCACTCACTTTCAGCAGGTTGGGGCAGGTGTGCAAGAGGAAATGCAGGCTCCAGCTAGGGATGCTCTGGGATAGGGCCAGGGATGAGGGGTTTGGGATGCAGTAGGGGGCTCAGGGCTGAGGTTGGGATGGGGAGTGTGAAGGCTTTGGGAGAGAGTTTGGGTGTGGGAGTGAATCCAGGCTGGGGTACGAGGTTGGGAGTGTGGCCCTTACAGATCCCAGAAACAAATGCCAGGAACCTGCAGCCCCTAGGTCTATGGTGGAAGCTAGGAAGGGCTCCACGTATTGCCCCTCCCCCCCCATTGGTCTCAGTTCCCAATCAGTTGGAGCTGTAGGGGGAGGACCTCCAGGCACGAGGGCAGTGTGCAGAACCTCCCAGGCCACACCCCTGCATCTAAAGGTAACAGGGACTTGTTGGCCACTTCCAGGAGCCACAAGGAGCCAGGGCAGAAGGAAAGTAAAGTTACTCACCTTGGTGCAGTAACTGTCGTTCTTCGAGATGGTGTCCCCGCGGGTATTCCACTGTGGGTGCTGGGCTTGCCCCGGCGCCGCAGAATGGAGCCTTGTTGGAAGCAGTATTTGGCCGGGCCGCACATGCGCTGCTGTGCTTGCAGCGTTCGTGCTCTTTTCCTGCGCACTGTCTGGCCAACCGCCAGTTCCTCGAGACCACCTCACAGTCTATAAGACACAAAGAAAAGGGGACTCTGAAGCAGGGAGGAGGGTAGGTAGTGGAGCACCCGCGGGGACACCATCTCAAAGAATGACAGTTACTGCACCAAGGGGAGTAACTTCGCTTTCTTCTTCGAGGATGTCCCTGCGGGTGCTCCACTGTGGGTGACTGCGTAGCAGTAGCTGCCAGAACAGAAGGCCCTAGTTATCTGCTGTGGAGAGCACCGCAGTTGCCACCGCATCGTCCAAGCGAGTGCCCAGTGATAAAGAATAGTGTCTAGCAAAAGTGTTGTGGGAGGACCAAGTGGCCATCCTGCAAATGTCTTTAAGGGAAACCCCTTTAAGAAAGGCCATCGACGCAGCCGTGGCTCTGGTGGAATGGGCACGTGGGTGGGATGGGAGGGGTATACGTTTTGTGGCATAGGCTTTTGTTATTCAGGAGGTTATTAGGTTGGAGATCCTTTGGGAGGATATCAGTTTCCTTTTGACCTAGGTGCCAGAAAGACTAACAAAGGGTCAGGGCGTCTGAAGGGTCTGGTTCAGTCGATATAGAAAATTAGGACCCTCTGAGCATCTAGGGAATGGAGAGCTACTTCTCGTGGTGAGGCATGGGGTTTTGGGTAGAACACTGGAAGAATTATTGGCTCGTTGACGTGAAAATGGGATGCAATCTTTGGAATGAACTTCGGGTGTAGTCTTAATATTACCCCATCCTTTCGGAATATCATGTATGGTGGTGTGGCCATCAAGGAAAAGAGAGCTCTCCTACTCTGCGTGCTGATGTTATTGCAAGTAGAAAAAGCATCTTTATGGTTAGAAGTGTAAGGATACGGTGGCCAACGGTTCAAATGGTGGCCTCATTAGGACCTCAAGAACCACATCAAGGGTCCATGATTGTGGGATTGGGTCTCGTGGTGGACTTAAATTAGTGAGGCCCTTGAGGAATCTCTTTGTGGTGGAATGAGCGAAGATGGAAGCTCTGTCCACCAGTGATGTAAAGGCCGAAATTGCCACCAGATGTACTCGGAGAGAAGCTAATGCAAGGCCGGTCTCTTTTAGGTGCATAAGATAGTCCAATACCAGAGGAAGAGGAGCTACTTCAGGGCAATGATGTTTAGCAGCACACCAGGAGGCGAACCTGCGCCACTTGTGAAGGAAAGTATTCCTTGTTGTTTGACATCTACTATGTATAAGAAAGTGTCTAACCAGTGCCGAACATTAAGATTCAGATGGGTTCAGCCAGTTAGGCACCATGTTGTGAGGTTCAGAGAGTGAATCTCGGGATGTCTCAACCGTCCCCAGGTTCTGAGTGAGGAGGTTGGGGAGGAGCGGGAGGTGGATGGATGGGCGTGAGGATAGGCGATGAAAAAAGTGGAGCCAATGTTGGTGCAGCCAATGCAGCGCTATGAGGATGAGTCGCGCCCTGTCCGTCCTCACTTTCTGAAGGAGTCTCAGAATTATCGGAATTGGGGGAAAAGGCATAGAGGAGGGGTCCATGCCAACTGATGAGAAAGGCGCCTCCCAGGGAGGCTGGGCCGAGACCCACTCTGGAGCAGTACTTGTGACACTTTGCGTTGCTGAAGGTCGCGAACAGGTCTATCCGAGGGGTACCCCAATGTTGGAAAATTGTGTGCAGGACCCCGTCATGCAGCTCTCACTCGTGCTTCACGTCGAAGTGCCTGCTGAGGAAGTCTGTGTTCACGTTCATGGTGCCAGGTAAGTAAGATGCCGTACGTGTTATTCCGTGGCAAATGCACCAATTCCAGAAGCAGTTGGCTTCCGTGCACAGGGAAAGGGAGCAAGCTCTGCCCTGACTGTTCACGTAGTACATGGCTGTGACATTGTCCGTAAGTATTCTCACTGTGGTGTTCTGGGTATGTGCACAGAAACATTTGCAGGCATTGAAAATCGCACGTAGCTCTAAGAGGTTTATGTGCAGACGCTTCTCCAATGGTGACCATTTGCCCGGTGCTGAAAAGGGACCCATGTGGGCTCCCCATCCTAGTAAGGAAGCATCTGTTGTAATGTGGTGGTATGGCTGCTGTTGGCGAAAAGGTACCCCAGAAAATAGATTTTGCCGGTTGGTCCACTATAAGAGCGACCATGTAATGGAAAGGGGAGGCTGTTGGCGAAAAGGTACCCCAGAAAATAGTGGACCAACCGGCAAAATCTATAAGAGCGACCATGTAACGGAAAGGGGAGGTGTTACTGGCCTGTGGAGGTCGTGTCTGGTGTGGTTGTAAACCAGTGTCAGCCAGTATTGGAGGGCACGGAAGTGCAGTCTTGCGTATTGGACCACGTATGTTGTGGCAGCCATATGGCCCATCAGTCTTAGGTTATGAGTGGAATGGTCGGACTACCAGTGATGGTTTGAATGAGGTCCTGAATGGACTGAAAACAATGTAAGGGCAGGAAGGCCCTGCCTGCAACCGAGTCCAAGCGAGCCCCTATAAATTCCAAGTCCTGAGTTGGGCGCAAAATGGACTTTTGGTTGTTGGAGGAGCCCGAGGGTGTGGAAGGGTCGTCTGGTGAGATGGATCATGTGAAGAACTTAGGAGGCAGAATAAGCCTTGAGGAGGCAGTCGTTTAAGTATGGAAAGAGGATTATTCCTTGCCGTCGGAGGAAGGCCGCAACTACCGCCAGGATCTTTGAGAATACCCTGGGGGCAGAGGGCAACCCGAAGGGTAGGACTTTGTATTGCTAGTGGTCCTTCCTGACAACAAAGTGTAGGAATCTCCTGAGAGAGGGGTGGATAGCAACGTGGAAATAGGCGTCTTAGAGGTCGAGGGCGGTAAACCAGTTGTGATGTTCCAGTGCAGGAATGATGGCAGACAACGTGATATTTTGAATCTTTGTTTGCGCAGGAATTTGTTCAAACAGCAGAGGTCTAGTATGGGACGCCAACCTCCAGATCTCTTCTGGGTGAGGAAATAATGGGAGTAGAAGCCCCTGTTTCTGAATTCATTTGGGACAGTCTCTATAGCCCCCCAGAAGGAGTAGGCGGTCGACTTCTGTTCGCAAGAGGACCTCGTGAGAGGGGTCCCTGAAAAGGGACGGGGGAGGGGAAGGGTTTGGGGAGGAATGGAAGTGAAGGGGATGGTGTAGACCATTTGAATAAATTAGAGGGGTCCCTGAAAAGGGATGGGGGAAGGGAAGGGTTTGGGGAGGGAATGGAAGTGAAGGGGATCGTGTAGACCATTTGAATAAATTTCCAGCACCCATCTGTCTGTGGTGATTGATGCCCATTGGTGGAAAAAGGGCCTCAACCGGTGGTGGAAGAAATGGGTAGACGGACATGTGATGTTGCCTGTGACTGTCTGCACGCCCCCGACCAAGGCATCGAACTTGCACTTGTTATTGGGGCCCATTTGGCCACGGCCATTCCTGTTGCGACGTCACTGGGGTTTCTGGCGTGAGCATTGATTATCAAAGCTCCTCTGTTGATGTTGTTGCTGCCATTGATGTCTGACGTATGAATAGTCATACCTGCGCAGGTATGACGTGTATCGGCGTCTCCTGAAGGGAGGCGTGTACATCCCCAAGGTCCTCAACATTGTGCATAAGTCCTTTGAGGAGTGTAGGACGGTGTCGGTATTTTCAGCGAAAAGCTTGTCCTTGTCAAAGGGCAAGTCCTCAACCTTGCTCTGTAACTCTTTAGGGACACCAGCTGCTTGCAAGTAAGAGGCTCTCCGCATAACGATCGCAGTGGCAGTAGAATGAGCAGTGGTGTCAGCGACGTCCATGGCCATTTG